TTTGGGAAGTAATTTAGACAGGTGCATTCACCACGATCTGTACATCCACAAGGACTGACTTATACAGTGCTTGTTTTCCACATACCAGGACAAAAAGTTAATGTCCCATTTAACTAACTTTCCTATGTTCTCTTAGACCTTTTCCATTTGCTTTGTAAAAAGCAAATTATCATCCAATTCAAACATAATTATAACATGAATTAGCCAATGACGATAACTGAAAAATTAATCATCACAAAATGAAACTGTATTTCACCTTATAGATGGTTCCAGTCAGCTTTCACTGAGCTTCACATACCACTTTCAAAAATAGAAGTTAAATTGAAAAATGTAATGTAAACTCTCTTCTAAACCAATTTGTCTTTTCCATTAGAGCTCTGCCCCAAAGTCATCCAACTTTCCATAGGAGAATACAGAAGACCTACTTCTGGACAACATTCATGTGGAAACACGCTTGATTTACAACTAACAAGTCAGAGTCATCATTCCAAAGGACAAAGTTCACTATTGATAAGTTAACTCCTTTACTTGAAGCAACACACAGTTCTTGAAAACCTCTTTACAAATCCCATTCAACTTCAAAACCTAAATGAGCAAAAAATATTTCATCCATAATTATCCCTCTAGATTTGTTTTAGATTCTCCTCTGATAAGCAATTCACACACACACACACACACACACACACACACACACACACACACACACAAATAGGAATTACTATTCAGTGACTGCTATAAAGTTCACTGGTAATAACAGAATTGTTATACCCAACATGCATGCTCTTCCAAATTATGAGACAGCAGTAAATCCACAAAACACAGAGACCTTGTTTAGCCCATCTGGGAGAAGACTCATCAGGCAGAATTCTTGGGATATGCTAAAAACCTCATTGTAAGAAAATGTCAGCTGAGTTAGCTTGGTTTGATCTGTAGGAAGCCATTCATTCCTAGGACATTGGTGCATTGCTATAGCAACTGAAACAAAGGATATTCTTAAAAGTTATGTTTTCCATACTCTCAATAAAACATTAAAAAGTTTAAAAATCATATTATCCCCAACCTGAAAAGTTCATCCATTTGTGGTAACTATGAATAAAAATTGGGAGTATTCAGTTAAAGGTTTATAAAATTAAGTTTTCTCCTAAGTGTTAACAGTGAAAAAATGCGAAAACCAGAAGTTCTACTGAGACCTAAAATGGATTTCCAGGTACTGCAGTGTTTTAGCAATTACATTAAGTCTTCCTACATCAAGAACAACAAAAGGGGGAGGGGGAGCAATGTAAATCAAAGTTAATGGTCTGTGCTCAGATGCCTCTGAAGTTTCAATCTGAAATAGTAATAAACTCTACCTTTGCAGTTCTACTGCATACAGCGCTACAGCCAACCATGAACTGTCCTAGCGCCAGTGCTAATAAATCTCTCTTCCAACGACAAGGAAAATTTCTGATCATTGGCTGCATTTCAGAAAGAGAACTAGGAAACACAGTCTAGTCAGATAGCTGCAGACTACACTAAATTTCATTAGTCTTTCTCTGTTTGAATCTAAAGTTGCAGTGCGCTTGAGGTTATCTGTAAACTCCTCAATGTACAGAATGCTCTTGTTGGCTAACTGCATGCTTTTGGAGAGAAGAAACATTCCTTCAATGTCTGCTCTTACCACCTCGTCTCCCAAGAGAAAAACAGATTAGAAAAACAGCAGTCCTCAAGAGCAGTTGCCTGGCTCTGTGGCTGGGCTTTCCATTCCCTGCATTTACCATCATATCCTATTCCTGTATATGGTATGTGGATTTGGCTGAGTTAATATAATAAAATCAAATGGAATAACCAGAGGGAAAAATCTTCCATTATTTTAATTTAGTCACAACTATGCTTTCACATATTTGTCAAGTTTACCACACATAATGCAATGGGATAAATATGTTAATAAAATCAAGCTGGCAGCATGGCTTTTTCTGTGTAGTAAAGACCTTTAGTGTGTACGAAGGAAGAAAAAGGTTTTGATTGTTATAACTGAGTTACAAATCAACCATATTTTAGGGCAACTTTGTAAATATGCTAGCTTTCCTCCTTTTTGGAAAATGGAAAGTAATAGTTTTAAAAATTGTTTGGTTATCCCATCTGTCAATCTGCCTTAGTGGTCACTTCTGATCAAACCCAGGTGCACCTGTATATGTACACACTCACATACACAGGCAGTCTGGTAGGTGTTCAATACCACCTATGCAGAGCTGTACAGTTATAAACTTAGCCATGTATCTAGTCCAGAAAAGAAATCAGAATTAAATAGAATGTGTTTACTATAAAACCAAAATGTACATTAATGTCATATGAGATATTTAATAAACTATTACTGGTAAATAAGCCTTTATTTTTAAAATCAGTATTTTTATATAGCATGAGTATAAATCAAGAGGAAGAAAATGTAGATGAGTATCAAAAAGCTAAAAAGCAAACTAGAGGTAACATTATTAAATTCAATAATGCTCCTTAAAGAAAACTTTTAAAAATACAAGAGCATGCAACTCTTGCAAAGAATAAACGTTCAAAAATTGAACCCTTAAACAAGCTGTGCTGAAAGCCTATGGAAACTATATGAGAAATGAAACACCAAAGGATCAGAAGAAAAAGACAAAGTTCTCCCAAAATCCTGAGTGTGCACCAGATGTGAAAATCACATGCTGTATGCATTGTATCGTGACTCTACACCTAAAGCAAATTCCTTTTCTGACTCCTATGATTTTGAAACTTGTATGCAACCATTCAATATTTCTGAAATACAAGAGCTATAATTTTAGATTTCATTGCAAAGTTAACAACTTGTTTATTTTTTGTGAATGTTAAATACACATAATATTCTATAGTTTCAAATGAATTACACTTACAATTACACTCCCATTTGATCTCTTGGGATAACCCAGGAAAATTGAAGAGAAGATGAATGCCAGCACCCCTTTATAGTTGGATAAATAGTAGCTGAAATGGCTTAGGGAATATTTCTCAGGTCTAAGGTCTGCAATTAAGTATCACGATCAGGTCTCATTTGGTTATCAGCCCTTTAAATCTTAGTGTTTAATGTTTCACTTGAATCTTCTTTTAAAATCAGATCTCATCAGCTAATCACTTTATTTCTTTATTTTTGCTCTATTTGAAAGGCAGTGTGACAGAGTAATGGACCTCTCCTGTCTGCTAGTTCACTTTTCTAGCGCCTGCAATAGCTAGGGCTTGGTCAAGCAGAAACCAGAAGCCCACAACACACAATCCAGGTCTCCCATGTCGGTGGCAGGGACTCAAGACCACAAGTTATCCACTCTTCCCAGAATGCACATTAAAGGAAGCTACATTAGACATGAAGGAGCAGAAATTTGAATCAGGCACTCCAATATGGGCCACAAAAGTCCCAAGCAGTGATTTTATTGCTTTGCCAAATGCCTGCCTTGGGTAATCATTCCAAACTTTCGGCAATTCTTACTTTGGTTAGATTTTTATGTTTTTAGTTCTTGACTATTTAAGTTTACAATCACAGTTGCCAAGTTTTGTTCCTGCCAATAACAATATCCTCCAAATTCTGGAATCCATCAAATTTAATGGACATTTTGCCAGGGTCACTGTGCCTTTATATCAGAAAATGTACTCCATATTCATTTTCTTCCTGTAACCATTTAAAATAACTCATATAAAATATTCCAATACCATTCTCTATACTTACAATGTCAGGACACAAATAGAAGAATGATGGAATTGGTTACTGTTATCGAGGAACTAAACTATCATTAGGGGAAAACAGGAGGCGGAGGTGTCAGAGGGTAAAAAGAGAAATCCCTGAGCCTAAGGCACTATATCATGAAAAATAAAGAATTTTTTAAAAATACATATATATCCTGGTAAAGGGAAGGAAATCCTGATGGCCCATCAAGACCCTCAGCTGTTTAATCACATCATTGTTATTACCCACTGATTCATCTTTAACATCAGAATTCATTCTTATTGTGATGGAGTAAAGTTTGTATTTTCTTTCCCTTCGACTACTTAACTAACTCTTATGATGATTGAAAATAAACCTGTGCTGGCATTACATCTCAAAATATTTAAGACAGCACCAGAATGATGGCATTGTGGGTTAAGCAGCAACTTGCAAAGACAGCATAGCATATGAGCTCCACTTCCCAGCTAGCTCCCTCCTAATGTGCCTGGAAAGGCAGTGGAAGATGGTCCAAGTACTTGGGTTCCTTTCACCCAAATGGAGACCTGGATGGAGTTCCAGCCACTGCCTTTGCCCTGATGAAGCCCTGCTACCATTTAACAAGGAACCCAGTAGATGGATGCTATCCCTGTTTCTCCCTTTGAGTGTGTATGTGTGTATGTATGTATGTATGACTCTGTCTTTCAAATAAATAAATACCTTATTTTTAAAGTCTAAGAGCAATAAAGCTCTCTGAGAATTCTAGAGAATGGGCAAGTAGCTACTGCCTTGATGGTTCTCTCCAAGCATTGAATTAGCTTTGAATTTCTAAAATGAAACTAAAGTACAGTTACAGGGATTCTCCTGTTTCTCCACTATTACTAATGCATTTCAGCATGGCAATGTAAAGAACACCTGACTGAAAAGCAGAAAAGGGTTTCTGAAGGAGCCTGGGTGACATAACCAGCTGCATAGCCTTGCATAATCAAAAAGTTCTTCATCCCAAGGTCCCTTCTCATTTTGAATGCTCTGCAACCATTCTCTGTTTAACCATCCTATGGCATTGTGAACATGTTTGTGAAGCCTTATTATTCATCCTCCTCCGCACAAAACATTTTTCTAACCAAGCTCGATTTTTTTCAGTTGCTCACACTCTACATTTCTGAATAACAGGCAGTCTTATGATAATTCATTTTCAATATAAATTCCTTTTGGGAAAAATGAGTGCACATTCCCTGATTTCATTCTCAGAAAACAACGTAAGCTTCTTAAAATGCAAAGTCACAAACAAGCTCAGTAAATTCCATAAAATATTTGTTACCTTCAAGTGTTGTTCCTTGTCCAAAAAGGGCATCTCCAGCTCCAGATGCATACAAGGCTGTGACTGAGAGGGCATACTGTGTCCCCTCCTGTAATCCTTTCAGCACAGCACTGGTTGAGTTTCCTCTCACGGTACTCTCCTGAGTTTCGCCTCCTGATGCTGGCGTGTATGTGATGAGATACTGTTTCACTTTGCCAGGTGCACTGCTCCAAGAGAGATTCATACTTGATGTCGTAAGGTCGGAAACTCTTAAATCTCTTGGATTCCCTCTAACTTCATTCAGAAATGACAACAAAATCAAAACCGTTATTTTAAAAAAAAATCTTGAAAACATTTTGTTACTTTACAATGAATATGCGTTATATCAAATTTACATCCTAGATCAATCTATAACAGCCTTAATTGTTGACTAGTCAACTAAGTTTTATTCATTTCTAAATCAACAGTACTCATTTCCAAATCAGGCCCTCCATGCTAGAAGAAGTCAAACAAAGCAGGAAAAAAATCCTTTTCTGTGTGCATATCAGTTAAAATACTTCATGTTGCAATCTTTTGTAGAAAACTATCTTCCTAAATTTTGCCTAAAGTGTAACAAACAACCAGGAAACATTGAGTAAAAACAGTTTGTCAGTATGATATCATGAACATTGAGTATAAAAATGATTTTTAAAAATGATGCTGTGCTGGGGAGAGAAGGATGAAAAAAAAAAAAAGGAAATAGCCTCATGCAACCTCACTTTGGATGCAACTCCCAGAAGCTACTCATTCCTTCACAACTGTGATGTCTGGTAGATTGATTTTCCTAGAAGATTGGCCATGTCATCTCTGAAGGAGCTCACTGTATCCCAACCCTATGTCACTCTACACTAGTTTTACTTCCAAAAACAAAATGATGGTGAGCAAGTGGGTTATCTCATGGTGTCCCCTGTAAACAGTCCTAGGTTCCCAGCCAGAAAATCAATACAATAAGTAATATCCTCCCAAAAGGAAGAGAGGAAAAAGGAAAGAAATAGATGGAGAAAAAGGGCCTCCAGTGGGAAAGGATAACGAGTGAGGCTGCAGAAGATGAGTGTTGTACAGTGGGAACAAAGGAGTGTGGTACAGCCCAAGCTACAGTGGACATTCTTGTGAGCATCTGCAGGAGGGCATGAATGCGGATTAACCACTTATTAGCTACACAGTTCAGAGCTGTTTTTTAACTTTCCTGTAAGACTGGAATAATAATAACTTCACAGAATCTTTATAGGATTTGACATAACACAAAAAGACCTCTTCACAGACCCTGATACAAACAGGTGCTCAAGAATGGCTTATTACTGCTAACACATCCTTAAAGGTATCACAATTTTTGAAATTAGGATAGGAAATAAAATGGTAAATATGAATGCCTCATTTTCCTGATTAAATATGTTAGTTTAAAAATCAGAGCCTAGCTTTTTGGCACGGCAGATTAACCCAGGTTAAGCCATCATTCACAACTCCAGCATCCCATATCAGAGTTCCATCTTAGGTATCTGCTTCTAATGCAACTCCCCTAAAATGCACCTGCTATTAGAGACATTCTAGGGAGTGAAGCAGCAGACAGAAAATCTCTGTCTCTTTCACTCTGGCTTTCAAGTAAATAAAAATGTAAATCTCTTTTTTTTAATTCCCAAAGCAGAAAACCATAATCTGTTTCAGTCCCTTAATTACAACTTCAGTTGTTATCAGAATAATTTATAATACTGTTGGTAAAGAATGTTCAGCTCATACCATAAAATTCAAATTGTATTGACAAAAATAGTCACTAGTAAGTCAAAAGTATGAATAGCTTCCACTAGAAAAATTATAGTTTAAGACACTTAGATACTTAATGTGTGTCAGGCCTTGCATTATTTAAACAGTTATTTAAATTTTTCCCTCTACATTAAGACTCTCGCCAGCATACATCCTCTACCTTCTTCCGTGGCTGCGGTTCCAGTCAGTGGAAAGCCAGGTCCCGAGAAATATTCAGGAATTACAGATACTTCATATTTTGTGTCTGGAGTCAGGTTCTCCAATGTTTCCCTTCTCTGATTGGCTGGGGTGGTAACTTCTTTGCTTTCTCCACCAGCGACTGGTCTGTATATAATCCGATACCTTAAAACTTTCCCTGGAGCTTGAGTCCAGGTAATTTTAAAGCTGTCTGTTGTCTCATCTGTCACTTTCAGGTTCCGAGGGGCTCCTTTTACTGAAATTAAACACACACATACACATATATATATATATATTCAAAAATAAACTGGCTAATTTTAGATGGAAAATACAAAAGTTAGCTTCTGATCACTAAATTACAGAATTTCTTACACAAACCATGAGCAGTTTTTAACATCTCATTGTTGCATTCATATAGCCAGACTAAAGTCTTAAAGAGAAAGTATCTTGTAAATATCTAGCAAGAAACTAAGTGCTGTTTATATTTTAATCACATAGGGCTACATATAACAGTAAATTATTAAAACAATAACCACTCTATTAAATGGTATATTTATATTTCATAAAGTTGAAGAGTAAAGACAATTCATTTCTTCAAATGTAAGTAGCATCTTAGTTCCACTAAACTTTCTAATAGATGCAGGGAAACAACGCCTCACATCAAGGGCTACCACATTTATCCACTTGACCATGCTGTCTTATACAGTCAGTTTAATAGCTAACATTTTTATCTGAAGTGTCATTTGACTGGTAGAAAATGGGACCATATACAAGCATGTAAGGAAGCAGGAACATGACAGGTACCTAATCAATACCAGTTAGATCTAAATCTTGAGCTAAATTACAATTGAGTAACACAAATTCACAGTTTTAAACGAAATTTTCATTCAGCCCAAACGAGAACATTCACTGACTTTTTATTTAGAAAACATGTTTAAATTACCTATCTATTCAACATGATAAGCTACCTATATAGACAACACAGCGATGGTGAACTTAAGGCCATGTCTTCTAAGTCCACTATAATTAAAGTATAGCACAATATGCCTGCATTTAATTCCACGAAGAACTATAAGTTTAGTTAGTTATTCAATACATTATTAGAGCTCTCCAGGGACAAAGACAGGAAATGTATCTCCCAGGAATAGAAAGAAATGTTGGCAGCCTCACACTGCTGACTCATTCTGAACAGCAAAGCAGCAGATTGAATTAGGCAGAATAGATGAGCTAGATAGACCGATGAATGGAACTTGGCTCTAAAGTGTAGCAGATATGTAATTTTGAGCCTTAGATTACTCTTCAGTAAAACATTACTATGTACTGCATTACTGAAGTGGTTAAATGAGACAATCCATGGAAAACTTTTAGCGTGGCAAGAGCTCCACAATTATTTCTGTGAAAGTACTGAGTCAGAAACTTCCTTGTTGATCAAAGTTCAAATCCCAGATTCACTGCAAACAATAGATTAGAAAGGCATTTTCCAATTTCACTGCAGTAATCCAACAGTGAAAGTCTTAAGCGCAGATGAATGCAGTGGCCTCTACTCAAAATGTTTCTTCTTAAGACCCCCACCTCTACAGTGCTGAAGAACAACGGTCAGCTTCCCAAAGCAGCACTTATGGGCATTAAAAAGAGTCACCAGAAAAATACAAGCATGGACTTCTATATTATATGATCACAAAATTATTAAAAGTAACAAGATGTCTTTGATCACTTATTTCCTGGCCTTAAATCACACACAAAAGAAAATGTCAGTCTTATCTGAAAAAAAAAAAAGGCTTCATTTTTAGATAAAAAAAAAAAAGTTATCTAGCTTTTATCAATACACAATATGTGACAAAACTATCTGCGTCTCATTTTCTCAAATCCACCAGAACAAACCCAGAGATTCTTTTTACTTCTAACTTTAGCTTTAAAAAGATTCTTGAATAGCTGCATTTTAAAGTTTTAAGCCTTACAAAAACTTAACTTCAGACTATTGAGCAGATGATCATGACACACTACTCTGCCACTTTGTCCTTTAGTATACTGCTAGTTTTTGAAAAATGGTGGCAGAAACTCTAGCCCACCTTCTGCAGTGGTCTCCTCTCCAGATATGGGGATGCTAAAGCCATCTTCATACTCAGCTGTCACATTGACCAAGTACAGGGTCTCTGGCTTCAGGTTCTGGAGAACAACGCTGCGGCTCGTAGCTGGCTCCACCACTGTGATCTCATCATCCCCACTGGCTTCCTTGTAGGTGATATGGTATGAGAAAACATTTTCTCCAGCAGGAGACCAGTCAGTTTTGAAACTGTTAGAAGTTACTTCCGAAAAACTGAGATCCTTTGGAGGCACATAAGCTATTGAAAACAAAACAAAGACATAATTTCAAATTTTTATATCAACAAAACAGAAGTGGACCTAATGGAATGCTTTATATTCATTTGGGAAAGTATCTATTGGGACCAATATTTTGAACAAACCTTCCACTTATGACCATTGAGAGAAAGCATGTCACTTACAGTCCTACAAAGAAGTCTTGACTACTTACACATCACAATACAAAGTACCTAATTTAAATTGATTTGACTTTTGAGCTTCTTAAGACAAAGAAGTAGTGGACTGGCCTTGACCACAACTGAAACATTTAAACAATAGCAGGCCCAATGCAAACTAACAAAATTGCCTATTCATCTCTGAAACTTGGAAATTAACCTTTTGTAGCAAACTGATAAAAGGCATGAGAATTCACTTATAAAAACACTGGATCTTCACAAATGAAGAAAAGGATAGGGAACTCCAAATCTAAGGAATGCTGCACAAAAATTATACAGAGAAACATGCCTGAAAGAATTCAAAGATCCAGAACTGTGTCTAATCACCTTTCATTTAAAGGACCTAACTCAGTACCCAGCACATGTATATACAATAGATGAACTTCTTAAAAAGATGTATTTGTTTGAAAATAAGAGCAACAGACAAATCAAGAGAGAGAGAGAGATTTTCCATCTACCTGTTCACTCTCCAGATGGCTACAAGTTTCATCCAAGTTCCCACATGGAAGGCAGGGGACCAAATACTTAGGACATCCTCTGCTGATTTTTATAAAGCAGGCCATTATCAAGGAGCTAGATCTGAATTGGAGCATCCAGAACATGAACTAATGCCTATACAGAATCATATTGGCAGTTATGCCACAACATGGGCTGTAATATGTGATTTGTTTAATTGGGTATGACAAGCCATGTCACAAAGCTGATTGAGATCCAGGAGTAGAAACATCTCAAGTCTCTTAGGAATAAACAGCTTTTTCTCAGCAAAATTATTCATATCCTTGAGAAAACTGTATCCCCCAGCTAAATGATCTAACTCAAGGACAGCATTTGACCTAACAGTTAAACTGCATCTGGGACACTTCTCTCCTGTATTAGAGTTCCTGAGTTCAAATTCTAGATCCACTCTCAATTCCAGCTCCCTACTGATCTGCACCCCAAGGGGCAACAGGAGATAACTCCAAGAGTTGGGTCTCTGGCACTCCTGTGGGAGCCTGGACTGAGTTCAGATCAGCTGTTGGGATAAACAGGGTAGCACACTTGTTTAAGTCACTGCTTAAGACACTGGCATTCCCATGCTCGTGTGCCCAGCTTCCTGCTAAAGCACCTGTAAAGGCAACAGAAAATGATGCAAGCACTTGGAGACCCAGCTGGAGGTCCCAATTCCTGGAGAATGAACCAGAAAATAGAAGATCTGTACCACCCCTTCCACTCTACCTTCAATTGCTTCTCTGCCTTTCCTTGTCTGTTGCTCTGCCTTTTAAGTAAATAAATAAATAAATCTTGCATAAAAGGATTTCTAATTGTTGCAGGCACTGGGGAGTAAAGAGAAAGAGGGGAGTTCTCTCTCCTACTCCTCTGTTTCTATACCTATAAAACAAAAATAAATAAATAAAATACATATAACTTCAATCATTTTAACAACACAGAAACACTGTATTGGCCCAGTGCGGTAGCCTAGCAGCTAAAGTCCTCGCCTTGCATGTGCTGGGATCCCATATGGGTGCTGGTTCCTGTCCTGGCTGCTCCACTTTCCATCCAGCTCCCTGCCTGTGGCCTGGGAAAGCAGTGGAAAATGGCCTAAAGCCTTGGAACTCTGCACCCATGTGGGAGACCTGGAAGAGATTACTGGCTCCCGGCTTTGGATTGGCTCAGCTTCACCGCTGTGGCCATTTGGTGAGTGAATCAGTGGGCGGAAGATCTTTCCGTTCCTCCTCCTCTCTGTATATCTGACTTTCCAGTAAAATAAATAAAATCTTGAGAGAGAGAGAGAGAGAGAGAGAGAGAGAGAGAGAGAGAGAGAAGCTGTATTTTCTTATATATTAAAAGAATTTGAAGAATCCATAATTTTGAAACTAAAAACACATTGTTCACAAAGAGGTAACTTTCAGACCCAAAGTCTGCTAACCTTTTTTCTTTATGGCCGCCAATTCTTGCTCGATTCTAAGGCAGATAGACTGTGTAAGTTCAAAAGATATCCTCTGAAAAGCATCAAAGTCCTCCACTGTGAACACATGGGTCTCGGCAGGAGGAGAAGCAATAGCTTCTAACTCTGAGCGAACAGCATCCTTCACACCAACAGCAAAGATTTCAACATCTGAATTCCTTAGTTTTACAGCAGGATCTTTGAACGCATCAGACGATTTTCCATCAGTGATAAGAATCATGACTTTTGGTACATTGCTTCTTGAACCTTTGCTAGGCACAAATATTTTTTCTCTGACGTAAGTCATTGCTTTGCCAGTGTTCGTGGATCCTCCTCTGTAGGGGAAGGTGTTTATTGCTTCAATTATATCTTCAACCTTGGTAAATTTTTTCAAGGTGAACTCTGTATGAGGATCTCTACTATACTGAACAAGACTTATCTGTACCCTATTTGGTGAAATTTCAAAGCTTTTTGCAAGAACTTCCAAAAAGGCTCTAACTTTAACAAAGTTTGCAATTCCAATACTATATGAGCCATCAACCAAAAATACAATATCAGCTTTTATATCCACACCACGTGAGCATTCTGTAAAGAGAAAAACAGTTCATTAAACTCCATAAACAATTCTAAATGCATCATTAAAATATAGATATCATGTCTTTTTGCAACAAGAGTCTTTTAAAGAAAACTATTTAGAAATATTGTTTTTGTAATAAGCCTGAACTAGTAAGGTATATCCTTAAAAGGACCTTCACATATCACAACCCTTCACATGCATCTGTAACTTACCCACTTGAACTTTCATTGGCTGAGTCTTCTCCATTATTGAAATGGACTCACTGGATGTCAGTCCCTTCAAGGCAGAAATGCTGATCTGATATTCTGTGTCTGCTGAGAGGTCGCGAACACTGAGTGTGGTTGTCTGAGGCCCTACGCTCAGAGCATGGTGTCGGCTTCCTGCGGTCATTGGCGTAAGGAGGACTTTGTAGCCAGTCACTGCACTAGGTGATGGATTCCAACTTAACTTAATGTATTTTGATGAGACTTCTGTGGCAATTAAATTTGAAGGAGGCTCAACAACTACAAAATAACAGACACATTGATTAATAACAGTAATAAGATGTAACTTTATTAGTCAGGTCTTTAGATTTGAATATTCAGTTGTTCTTTTTTCAAATTAATAATGAATATGTCAGGAACAATTGCCAATGCATCTTCCCCAATTCCAGTTGTACTTAACAAACACAAAGTGAATGAAGCCCCACCTTAAGTTAGGTTGCCGAGGAATTTAGAGAAAAGCAAAGTCTTTGAAAGAAAGTAATGATAGGACATCAAAAGCATAATTGTTCTAAGATTTTCATTCTTACCTTAAGCATTTCACCCGTTACTTTTTTTTCAAAATAGATCTGACAAATATTAACTAAAATCAATGACTCATTCAATTCTTTATAAAGTAGTTCTCTTTTAATATTGTGATAGAAGTAAAACTATAATGTTTTAAAGTTAGTTTATAATATTCCAAAAGAAGAGTTTAGCAATTCTGAAATAGCAGGTATTTTTAACGTTAAAAAATTTCATTCCCACTATTTCAGGGTAAGAAAGAGTGCTCAATATATTTTTAGTGTTAACAGAGGTGAACCAGTAGTTCATAACACACATAATGACACATAAATGTTGATCATCTAAAAAGCTTTGACCCTCACTTCAGGTCATAGCCATGCATTTAATGGTTCACATGCACTATTTTAAAGTACTTCAGACAAATTTTCAAAACTCTAGATTTGCCAAAAGAATCAACTGCCATGAGATAGAAATTTTTGTATTTATAAATTAGTTTTTAAGAAATACGTGCAATAATAAGCAAGAACTTATCATTCACCTCCTCAAAAGGCAATCTGATGTGGTACATAAAAGATGTTCAAGTGAGAAGTAGTGGGAGGGAAGTAACAATTGCACCAGCTAGATATTTTGGTCAAAGCTCCTGAGTGAAGAAGATGCATGTTGGGGAACAGAAGCCTCAGACCAATGTCGGTGGGAGAGAGGAGACTCCAGAAAAACGTGACCCTCTGTGCTGCGGCCTCTCTTTCCCACACCCGGAGAATTCAAGCAGTGACAGAACAAGGTTTGAGCTCCCCTTCCATACAAAGGGGCACACCCCAGTGAAGAATCAGTGTGCTATAAAAGATCATGTAAACAGAGGTAATCGGGGCAAACTGGATGTGGGGAAAGATGGATTTTATAATGATTTTGATCAAAACAAGTCAGACATTAAGCAATAAGAGAACTTGCAGCGCATGAAGTAATGAGAAGTTCTGAGATAGAATTAAGACCAATGAACAGTGCCAAAATACTTAGGATTTGGAGATTAAAGGGATTGTATGACTGAAGATATAGCTATTTAGAACTTATCTTTAATCACATGTTAATTCTCAGGCTGAGAGTATAAGCACCATGGAAAAATAGAAAGGCTTTGAATTGTGACTTTGGATCTTCAAAAGGATACTTCTGAACAATCTTTGGGGATGTCTTTTCTTTCCCCCACGTGTTTAGAAGTAGTAATTGCTATTATAAATGGGACATTTTTCCAGATGTACGAGGATCAACCTCTCTGATCGATGGAATACGCCTAATGGCTTTAAAAAAATCTGTGCAAAGCAGGCTGATGTGAAACTCTTGTCCTTAGCCAGTTAATAGAAAGTATTATTACATTAAGTTGCAGAATACTAAAACAAATGTCTCCCCAGCCAGGCACTGTTTAAAACAGTACACAGTAATTAAAGCAAGTTCCAGAAGAAGGTAGAGTTATGGAAAATGCTTATTGTATGCAAAACAGTTGTAAAGAGAGGCTAGACTCTGGTGCAACAGTTAACATGCTATTTAGGACAGCTGCATTCCAAATTGATGTATCTAAATTCAAGTACCACCTCCTTTCTCAATTCCAGCTTCCGGATGAAGTTACACCCTAGGAAAGCAGGTAATGACTCAGCTGATTGGACCCTTGTCACCCACACTGAAGGCATAGATTGAGTTCCAGACTCCGGACTTCAGGAAGATCCAATCCTGGCTGTTGTGGGCATTTTGGAAGTAGGTTAGCAGATGGCAGATCTCTCTCCTTATCTATTTCCTTCCCCCTCTCTGCTTCTCAATACATAATGTCATTTTTAAAAGTTTAAAGGGAAAAAAAAGTACCACTTTTCCAGAAACAATGTTAAGAACTTTAAAGTATTACAAATATTTGATCAAATGTTCCACTGGTGAGGAAGGGATGATACAAATGGAATCAACAAATTACTGAAAAGCAATACAAATGGAGTACTCAATTAGACAACTGAAGGGTATATTTAAGAAGACTTTTAGGATATTTGTAACACTATCAAATGATGGAAAATGCTATCACTAATGGAATCCCCAGCAAACAATCCACTCACCTTCTTCTCCACTAACCAGTTCACCAAGCTGTTCATCAACACCTGAGCACACCTGAGAAATGATCTCATTCTGAATATCGACAATTGCATCAAAATTGGCCACATTGAAAACATGATTCAGTGAAGGTGCGGAGGCAATTTGCTTGAGTTCTTTTGCATCTGCAGCTTTAATACCTTAAAAACCAAAGGCCAAGAATTGACTGGAATGGAAAATGTGCCACATTGGAGAATTTCTTTGCTTTCTCAGTCTCTCCCAAATGAGTACATTTTCAAATTCTTATTAAGTGACCAATCAGAATTTCTTTGCTCCATAGTCAATGTACAACTGCTTTGGTTACAAAACTATTTTATAATTTCACACAAAGTGCTCAGCCAAATAAGAAAACGAGTGGCTGGTAAAACAAAGTGGGCTCTTATCCCAACCATGCCATCACTTGTCTCTGCCATCTGTAAAGATAATACTTTTTTTCTTCCAGCATTCTGAATGAGCTGGAGCCTTCTGAATTCTTCAAGCATTACATAATATAGGAAACACATAAAAAATACTTAATGATAATACAAGGCGGATCTTTATGAGAATCTTTGGCCCAGCATACTGCAGAAAGTAGAGAACTGGCATGGCGATGAATACCAGCTCACTTGATGCACTTGGTAAGGGAGCAACAAGAGGGGAGTGGGTAAGCAGAAAGTTCACTCAAAGATGACTGGGCATAAACCTATATCAGAAAATGCTTCTGGGCACATCCTTCCTTGAGGATTTAATCCTTCAGCTCCCAAGCATTAAATCAACTGAAATGCTTCCTTTTTTAATATTCACTAATTTTTTCTCTTGTTTTTCATTTTTGAAATGAAAATATGTTTTTTGTACATGATAGTCAAAAAACTAATATTGAGATAAGGATCTCACCAAATAAAAATGCCATAGCACAGCAGCAATATATGCAAAAGCCACTACAAGAAATTGTTCTGAAATAAAACAATTAACTAAACCTACCCAAGGAGAAAACTTCAACTCCAATACTACGAAGCTCTCTTGCTGGAATTTCCACTTCATCCTGGGATTTGCCATCCGTGATTATAATTGCTACTTTAGGAAAGCCAACTCTTGCTCCAGCAGATTCCGTGAAAGTGTTTTTCACTAAGTAATCAATAGCATCCCCTAAGAGAAAACAACAGATATGTTCATTCATTCTGTACTATAGAATTTTGGTCAAAAAATTCCGGGAGTAGAAGTGGGTCCTTTAGGGAAACAGTGGGCACCTCCCTCTAGGGTTGCCAATCCAACTGATGAGCATGAGGACCAGGACTGGGGTAGGCAGAGCTAGACAGAGACGGGTACTGGCCAGCATGTGTATAGGCTAGATAGTGTGGCTGGTTGGGTTTGAGCTAAGCTTCAATGCCCATTAAAATGTATAAGAGTTTATGGGATATGGGACAGACTGGACCAGTCTGCTATACACTACTGTAGGTAAGCACGGGAATCAGGGCAGGGTGTCAACAGGACTGATGGGGGTTATTGTGGATTGCTCCAACTAGGCTTCAGCTCCCACAAGAGTATGTGAAGGCCAAGTGTGTGGCAGGCAGGACCAGGCTTGACTGCAGCATCCCTTGATTCACGTGGAAGACAGGGCTGGAAACAGAACTGACCCAGCAATTGCAACCACCAGTGTGTGCATAAGCTGATTGAAACAACTGACTGTACCGGACCCTGTGCTGGCTAGCACACACAAGAATCTGGTCTGGGATCACCTCAGATGAAGCTTGAGGATTCCTCCTCAACTGAACTGCTGAACTCAGAACCCCAACCATGAAGAGAAGTACAGGTTCCATGGTCTGGCCGTGGAGTGCATGTGTCAAAGATGAACCTTTTCAGTGGCTCAGATGGAGTAGTGGACAGCATATACAGGTGCACATGGAGGATATGGCAGTCCACTGGAGCCTGCAGAGGACACCTGGTACCACAACAAAGGACGGAGGACAGAACAAATAGAACAACTACCCAGCCACGAGTTGGCAGTGAAAATCTAGGTAAATAGAGAGTCCAAGGTAGACTATGTCAGCCAGTGGATTCTGAAGAGATTTCATTGTGCTTGGAATGGTGAGACTGATAGCAATTCAGAACAGTTGAACTACCGAAACCATTTGAGCAGTGCCCTCAGAGCATGCCCCACATCGGGGACCCTTGGATGGTTGGGAGGCTGGGTAGGGCTTTCCCCAGATACACACAGAAAAAAAAGAGAATGTGGAAGTAATGGTCATATCCACTTTCCTGTAACCCTTGACCCTTTGTACCCTAATCAACTATGTAAGATCATCAAAATAAAATAACTAGAAAAAAGGAGAAAAAGTATTGTCATAGTCAAAAGTTATATAATTAATTTCAAAATTAATCAATGTGCAATTAGTAGGCAATTCTTCAATTTCTTTCTTAAATAGACATTTATTTTAAACAATAAGAGTCTGAAAAAATACCTGTCATTGTGTTGCCACCTTTGTATGGAATTTTTTTAATTGCAGCAAGAAGCTCATCTCTTTGGTAGTACTGGTTTAAATTAAATTCAGTCCTGGTATCAGAGCTGTACTGAACAACTCCAACTCTTGTCTTCTCCTCTCCAATGTCAAAAGCAGACACAAGAGCAGCAATAAAGTCTAAGATATACTTGAAATTATTTCTTCCCACACTCCATGAGCCATCCACAAGGAAAACTAAATCAGTCCAAGCACTGACAGAGCATTCTGAAATACATAGAATATTTATATTTAATGACACATTACTAATCAAACCATCATTAAGTGATACAAATTACCATTGCAAACTTGATTCTGTAATCATTGTGTTCATCAGAACATACTCACTCAGTATTCTTCACTCACATACACAGAAGAATATAAAAATCTGTTGATACACATAAAAGCATTTTGAGTACCTTTATCAAGATGCAGTAATGGAAGTAGAGTTTTAGGTATGGGACATCACACAGGAAGAGATAAAGAGATATGCAACTACTCTCCAGCAGCATACAAAGTATTGTGACATGAACCTACCTGCTTCGTAAGTTCTATTCTTAAGCATCTTTCAAAACAAAAATTACATAAAACATCTCGGAGACATTCAAAAGAAGTTACAACAAGTGTTACCTTTCTAAATACCATATTATTATTTTATATTATATAGCATATATAATATAGTATATTATTTATATGTATTTATTCAGCAGTTGGGCTGAAGAAAGAATACATTTTTTAAATTCTTCTACATTTTTCAGTGTAATTATCTTAAATTTGCAGAAGTATTAGTCTCAAGAGTTAATGTCATCCAACAGAAGTGAAATGCATAACAGGATCAGAGCCAAAATACCTTGTCATGATTATCAACATAATCAGAGTTGACAACTAAAACATACTTTCACTAAGCGACTAAAAAGACAATCATTTTAATTCAAAAGTTAAAAAAAAAAAATCTTGTGGCATTCTTAAATTAATCAACTACAAAGATACTATTTTTTTTCTCCCTGTGATGAATGTTAGCTTGGTTTTCATAAAAAAAATCTATATTTGTAAGCAACGTGAGTAATTTTGTGAAGGTTTGCATGTCCTTGAAATCATTTGATAGATACTTTAAAAAAAAAAAAAGGTATTTGGCTAGGATGAAGAGGAAAGGATCTTGGAAAATCTTGCAAACCAAACACAAATTGCATGCTGAAATATTTTTTGCACACTATTTAATAGGTCAATTTAAGCCTGCTAAAAAGCCCATGTTTGGCATAATGCTTTGATTTAGAATAAACATTGATGTTTGGGGAAAATATTTGCACTACAACTGCCTACCATAAACTTCATTTCAAATTATTACGCATGGAAAGAATGAAAAAGAATTATCTGAAGAGAAAACTTCCAGATAAAGGAGGCTTTGTGTTCATAATCTTTTTATTGTCATTCTGGGTCATAAATTCAACTTTTACAAGCTGGGAAATCAGAGGTTCAAGAAACCCCTATAGGGTCCATCCCAGTAAGTCAGACAAAGCAGAAGGAAACACAGGAGGCTAAACCACAAAATCTAGTCTAAATAAAATTTGGTTACAAATACACCAATTTGTCAGAAGTCTTACAGAGACTCCAGAAAAGGTTGTAACTGACAAGCAAGGCCATTGGAATCACCCTAAAGATGATTTTAACAGACACCTCCACTCAGAAAGTTATCTTCATGGCAATAATTGGCTTAAGACACTAGCCGAGGGCTCCTCTCTCATGTTTCACTCCTGTATTTTTCCTGTATCCCTAAGAATTGCATATTTCTATCAGATTATACTTAAGAAAGTGGTTGAGTCCAGGAAGAAGACTTTGCTTTTTTATTTCCTGTCAGATCCCTGCATAAGTTTGCTTACATGCAAATTCAAAACACTCTTATTAAAAGGAATAGTTAGTAAACAGAATGAAAACTTAAAAAATCCTTATAGATTTTATTACTACTTGCTTGCATATTTCTATTTTACTGTCTTGCTCCTTCTAGATAAAGCTTTTGGAAATTAACACAGGAATAAGATCAATGAATATATATACTCCATTCATGACTTATACAAATCCAAGGAAAATACTAAGGGGAAACACTCACTTTGTATCTCTGTTTTGCCAGGTTTCTTCTCCCCTGCCTTTGATGGATCACCTGTTTGAACTAAATCAAATTCTTATTGTTACAAGAGGAAATGAACTCAAACAAATATTTCATTAAAAGAGAATAAATCCAGGTACAGTAATGCCCAGCTGGTCAGAGAGCAATGCCAAAAAAGCATTCCCTCGTGCATATGCTATTTTCAGAGAGCTTTGAGAGATATTTCAAAAGGGCATTGACATTGTTGCCTGGCAAAGTTGAATGTTTTTAATAGTTTTCACTCATAACATTCCTACTGTTTCCAGAAACTAGGGTTACAAATTAGGAATGAATTATTCATATTTGCCAAAAACTAGGATCATAGAAATAGTCAACACAGATATAAACTAATTCTGTATAATAAAAGATGAAATCTGAAGTTCAAAAAGTTTTCAGCAAAATAAAAATATGAAAGAAACAACAAGAAGAAATAGCAAAACTGGAAACAATGAGTTCACCCAGTTTTCTCTAAACCTCAATCCTTCCCACCCTAATCAACCATGTACTCACTTAAAAATATAATATTAATAAAAAATAAAAAAGAACTTGAATTTGTACATGTGCTTACTTGTTAGTTGTCCTATAACTGGCACACTTTCTTCCACTTCATCATATGAAGTTATCGTCACCACATACTCTATTTCAGGTATAAGATCTGATAATAAGGTTTCAGTGGTACTAGCTGCAAGGGTGAATTCTTTAGTGGGCCCATCTGGAAATGTAAAGGGAGAATATAATTGTAACAGGACTTCTTCACATAAAACAAAACACAAGATATTGTAGTTCCCAAATGTTCTCAAAATCTTGGAAAGCTTCAATATATACAATTTTCAGAACATCCAAACTTTATTTTTCACTGTCTTCTAAAACAAATACTCTGAGTTTCAGAAAATCAGGAAGTATATTGTTATTGCCTTTTCTTATCACAATCACATGCAGTACTTGCACAAGTACTCAGACTCCCTCTGAGTTAAAAGTATATGAGGATATCAAAACAAAAATCTCTCATTGATTTTAGAGACCAATGGTAAAAAGGATTTTCATAAATGAGATATAAAGCAGAAAGTAATTTTAAATAACACATTGGAACAAAGTAGAAAAAGAAGGTATGAAACCAAATTCAGGAAAATTCCATAGCTTATAATCAATCCCTAGTGGAAAATCATTTTTGTGGAAGAAACATATCTTCCATACGCAAACATGTGAATATCTGAATGAATAACCACAGTCCTTTGAATTAAGTAGATAACAAACATTTCAAGGCACAATGTACTGCTTACTTAAACAGAAACAACACTATTCAATCAGCAAATGATAGTTTGTAGGGACTAAGTGCTGTTAATGTTTTTAAATATCTTAATTTTCACCAAAATATAAGTAAATAGGCAAAGCTGAATCTTAAAACATGCTCTTATTTCCACATGAGAGATGCAAAACCAACTGGGACCCCCCCAAAGAACAAGATTCTAGGGCTCTACTGGGCTGGGCATTCCTAGTGCCAGGTTCGAGAACACTGGGAGGTAGCACTTTCTAACAACTAGAAGTGGATGGGCTCTAGTTGAACTGTTTTTCAGCTTGGAGATGAATTAACTATTTAGCAATAAATATATCTGGAGAAAAAATATTTGGAAAAAAAATAAATTCTTGTCCTCTTTTCAAGTTCTCAGATCACATATTTTTTAAAGCTTCCTGACAAACCGGCATTTAAAGGCCTTGGTAGTTTCTGAAGGCCACGTGAGAAACAAACAGCTCTAGTGATAAGTTATGTTGGCATTGTGCATCTCTATTATCAATCAATTCTTGTCACATGGCAAGAATTCATGAAATGGTTATTCATTAAAAAAAATTTTTGTTTTAAAAAAAAATTTTGTTTTAATTTACAAATCCATACTTAGTGACAACAGCTTCATACAGTCATACTGCGGTAATAAAAGGACTACAGCATAAAAATGAAACAGTGGTACCAAGCTGGAACTCTACAGACCTGAATCTGCCATCTCAGATCCTCACGATGGAATGGAAAGATTACTAAATCACATCATCTTTGATGTCTCTATTCTAAAAACCTCCATATCTCGAGACTCACCTGTTGTAGGGTCCACTGTTATTCTGTAACCCACAATAGGATCAACTGGTCTTGTCCATGACATATGCACAGTATTTTCATCTATAATTTTAAAATTCAAGTCTGAAGGTGGGTCAACTGGAAAAAAAGAGAACACAGACAAATTACTTACATTTTCCAACTAACAGAATGGCCAATTTAAAGAATTGAATGAGCAAAGCTTACTAAAATTGTCTTTGCATAAATTTGTTTCCAACAAATATAAAAAACTTGTTGGATGAGAATACAATTAAAAGCTGACAAGATATGACAAAACATCAGAAAGTATATAAATTACAAAAGACAGCACAAAACATTCTTGATTCTTGAGTTGCTAGGTCATTCAAGAATGGCCAGCAAAATCAAGCACAACAAACATATTTGGATACAAGTACATACAAGTACAATGAAATCACATACAATAACCACATATGCAAACAATTCACATAACAATTAAAGGAATCTCAATACATGCCGAGTGCATTTTGAACAAGCATGCCAAATCACAACCTGCTTACAATCACAGAAGTTAATTTAGACCATTTTGACGTAACACGTTTTCCATAATTGGGAAAAGAATTGATGGTGTTTCGGTTCATTCTTGGCATTGTTGCCTTGCTATTAAAGGGTTTTTTTTTTGATAAATCTGAATCTGTGGCAGAGATGAAAAGTACATTTTAATGAAAAGAAGAAATCATGGGAAACTTGATTAGGTCTCACAAGGAGGTATATATTTAAATGTATATTCACATTCAAATGGACAAATATTCAAAACTAATAAGAAATGTTAAAAATTTATAAATATATATACCATGATGAACAGATGTTTATACAACTAATATTCTGCCTGTTTACACCAACTTGCTGTATGTTTCCAAGGTGTAAACCAATCCTGTTACTTCCTTTGCAGCAGGTATACTCCATACTCAAAATGGCATTTTAAATTAAAGTGCCAGTATGGTCCTTTACAAAGCAATGGTTAAAGATGAGAGGACAACATCAATGTTTATCTATGGACACTCATTTGCAGAACTTAAAGAAAGAGTGAAGAAGGATGAGCAATCTGAAGACAGGACTGTGCATTAAAACTTTGAAGAGCCAAGGACAGGAGTAACTGCAAAGTACAGAAAGGAATAGTTTACACACAAAACTGTACAGCATCATGCAGATGTCAATGGAATGTTGACTTGCTTTTAGTTTCCCACAATGAACAAAAGCCTCCATGTACAATAGTCGCTACACAAAGACATATTTTATAATGATATTCTTTCTACAGTGTTCATGCCCCATCATGCAGGATGGTACTGACTCACTGTCAGTGCATGGTCAACACATTTCAAATGATTACTCTTGAAGTGAGTCCATAAAGTCAGATGATTTTCAGCCATACTCTTCTTAAAACATTGCAGTTTGCAAACATCTCTTATGAGTCAGAATTTTTGCATCCATTTTGAGCGATTACAATCTCCATTTAGATTTTTATAAAGGTCAATTAAAATACAGTAATAGCTCTGAGATATGAGTCATGGAGTTATATGGGGTTAGGGGTATACATAATATTAATAACACATTTAATGGAAATAAAACAAATTAAGCAAACATTTGCTTTAATCAACTACTGGTTACAACTGCAGGAGATGGCTTTGTATTCTTCTTGGAAATCCTAGTACTGGAATGGATGTTATTTTCTTACTATCCATACACAGGCAGTGAGATTAGACTATTAATTCACATGCATAGTTTATTCAACATTCTTTCTGTGATCATATTGCAAGGTTTAGTCATAGTTTTCACTTACTATAACAAGCATGCAACAAATGTTAATAGGACAATAAGTAAAAGAATATCATTATAAAATATTGTTCTAATAGCAATGGCTCAGGACAAATTTAATGCAAAGGCAGACACAACTGGCCTGAGCATGCTCTTAAAAATCAGTCCATGGAAAAACAGTACCACCAACCTTGGGAGGAAAGTGACCTGAAGCAGCAGACATTAGGTTAAAACTGCTGGAGGGCAGCAGCCCACCTTGTTGATATCCAAATGACCAGGACTCCAGATAAACTGAAAAATTGACTGTAGGGAAAAGTCTTAAACATTTCAGAGGATTTTAATGTGTTCAATGAAACCGAAATGTGGTGCTTGGGATTTGAAAGTCTGAAAGAAGGGCTGATCAGCATGTGTACAAGTTGAAGCCTTCCCTGTTTTTCCACTTGCCAGATCTATCAGGTGTTACACAATTCAAGCTTGTCATTCTGTTTCTACATTTATCTCATGAAATAGTGAAACAGGTGTATGTGACTCAGTTCAAGTTAAACCAACACAAAACTATATTTTATTAACTTTGAAACTCTTTTTATCCACATAATGATAATTCATAACCACCACTTCAATTAGAACCCAGTGTCCCCTAAAATAATGCTGATGCTCAAATGTTTCAAATACGATCTAGCTATATGTGGAGTATAATCGTAAAAAGCAATAGTTTTGTAAATTAAGATTCTTGGCTAAAAGAAAAAGAACTACTAAAGAAATTTTTTAAAAAGAACTAGTAAAATATACATCAGTAACAATCATCCAAAACACTGAATACAGTGAAAAACTAGGATATTATGCATGTGTAACTGTAATATTTTAGTCTTATCTATCAGTAAGGCTTTTTGTTATTAAACCCAATGTTTTGAAAATCTCATTTTGCTGAGGTTTTTGTGACATACACTGGCAGGATTCAGGACATGTAAAGAATGATGACAGCAGCTAACATTTGTTAAATTCTTTTGCAGTAAATGGAAGCCAGTCCCTTTGTGTAGTGTCTCTTCTTTTTTCTTGTATAACAAGAAGGTTAATACAGTTAAACAAGCAGAAACAATTTAATCTTACAGGTGGATTCAAACTAACTGTTTTCTACTATTCCAGATTAAATGGATGTAAGAAGAAATATTTTAAGCATTTAACTTTAGAAACCAACATCTATATATAGCTAACTGTTAATATGAGATGAATGAGTTTATCAGAGATGAATGAATGAAAGGATGAGTGGATGGATGGGGGATGAATGAGTAGAAGCAGAATAATATATGGTGTGTTACTTATAAAGCAAGTATGAGAAACTACTACTGAAGTATAATCTAGATAAATCTATGAATCTCTTAGACTGGCATTTGAAAGAACAGCACTCAAAAGTGTAATACCCAAAGAGTGCAAACAGTTAGAAATACACAAAGTATGAAAATTTTCTATGTTCAGTAGGTATTAATTTATTTTTCTTGCAACTTTAATGTAAATTTTATTATCTTTCATATGACGTGGAAAGCTATTCCATTTGGATATAAAATATCAAAAATGACGAATTGAAGATTGAAATTGAAAATTTCAAACAAGCAAAATGTCACTTTGTACATATTACAAAATGCATTTTTTCATCAAGGTGACTGCGTCAACCAGCTGTCAAACAAAATGTAAGTAGAGGATAGCCAAATTAACACTAAAGTATAACTAAAAGCTCTGGGTCTTGTCTGTGCTTTATCCCTAAGTGTGTTAATTCACCAAATTGTTCAGCCTCTCTAAGTCTCCTATCTGGAACCAAAAGAGTGGCATAGCAGGATAATATTCTGCATTAGGTACCAGTAATCCCATATGGATACCAGTTCTTTTTTTCTTTTAAGATTTATTTATTTTTATTGCAAAATCAGATATATACAGAGGAGGAGAGACAGAAATATCTTCCGTCCGGTGATTCATTCCCCAAGTGACTGCAACAGCCAGTGCTGTGCCGACCCAAAGCCAGGAGCCCAGATCCTCTTCCTGGTCTCCCATGCAGGTGCAGGGTCCCAAGGCTTTCGGCCGTCCTTGACTGCTTTCCCAGGCCATAAGCAGGAACATGGATAGGAAGTGGGGCTGCAGGGATTAGAGCCAGATCCGGCACCCATATGGGATCCCGGCTCATTCAAGGCAAGGACTTTAGCCACTAGGCCATGGCGCCAGGCCCTGGATACCGGTTCTAGTCCAGGCTTTTCTACTTCGAATACATCTTCCTGTTAGTGGCCTGAGAAAGCAATGGAGGATGGCCCAAATCTTTGGATCCCTGCACTCATGTGAGAAACTCAGAAGAAACTCTCAATTCTCGGCTTCAGACGGGTACATCTCTGGCCATTATGGCCATTTGGGGAGTAAACCTGTGGATAGATCTCTCTGTGTTCCCACCTTTTCTGTGTGTAAACTCTGACTTTGAAGTAAGAAATAAATAAAGCTTTTAAAAAATTAAATGATTACTAAATTATTCATTAGTGTGTAATTTGTGTTATAATGGAAGTTAGACAAAGGATTATGGAAATATATAATAAATTAGTGTCTGAATCCAAAAAAAGAACAGCTAAAGTTTATGTCCCCAGGGACTGTGTTGTGGTGTAACAAGCTAAGCTGCCAGGTGACCACTGATTTATATCCTGGCTGCTTCCCTTCCACTCCAGCTCCCTGCTGATGGCCTAGGAAACGCAATGGAAGGTAAGCAGAGTGAGTGGACCCCTACGGAGGCCGAGACAAGCTCCCGACTCGAGCTTGGCCCAGCCCTGGTCAATCTTGCCATTTCAGAGTCAATCGGCAATGGAGAATATGGAGAATATCTCTGTGTCTCCCTGCAATTCTTTCAAATAAATAAACAATACATATTTTCAAGCTTATGGCCTCTTTTCACTGACAAATTATTATTCCATGGCTCTTTACATGTTATAAAGTATAAATCAGACTTTGAATATTAAACAATTGTTTACAAAATGTGTGTTCACCTCAAATTTATGTGAATTAGAGACGCATGTAGTTATCAGGAAATGCTGGCCAATAACCTTTGAATGCATAGTGCTGAACTTAGCAAAGGATAATTAACATACTATGTGCTACTCAGTGAACAAAGTAATTCACACACACTAGGTCATACAAAGCACTAGTCAAGTTGAGACTATAATAATAATAATAATGAGACTATAATAATAATAAAGGCTGTGGCTAATAATTACAATAACAATTACAAACATTGTAGGCAAAAAAAAAAAATTGACATTTTCACAAGAGACCATGACATGAAAAACACAGTTCTTCACTCAAGTAGACAAAAGAAAACCACTGGACAAAGGTAATACTACTGCAAAAGGAAAAAAAAAATGCAGACACCAAAATCTTCTCATTGATACTCAGCAAAGTATTGCTTTTTCAATACATAAACCTCTAAACCAATAAAAATTGATTCAGAAATAGAAGAGTGTAAGTATAAATCATGAAAGAATAGGAAAGAAATTATGGCTGCTTGAGGACTAAAATCTAAAGGCCATGGTGCCAAATAAGGGTGAATAAGCTAAATGGTTAAAAATACCCGCCACCCTTGTTAGTATTTCAAAGGAATTCTGTTGCCAGCCCATTGTCTCCAAACAAGCCTTGGCCACAGATTTTGTAAGACCGTCAGACTCCTGGGGCCGCTTAATTGGTACTTAACAGCACAGCTGTGCGGTCCAGCACAGGAGCAAGCAGCCACATGTGGCTCTCCAGCATTTGAGCTGTGGCCAGTACTAGAGAAAAGCACTGCAGGGATAAAACACACACCCAGTTGCAAAGACTTAGGACCAAAAATGCAAAATATCTAATATTTTTATATGGACACATGTTGAAATGATAATGTTAGATTAAATTCAATTTCTCCAGTGCCAAACTAGAGAATAAGGCCAAAAAAAAAAAAAATTCCATTAAAATATAACCCTTAAGCCCTGACCAAAGAGCAAAGAAGACAAGAACGCAAGAGAAGAAACTGTGCCACATCGGAATAAACACAAATTTAAAAGATAAATACAGGTAATACAGAAATCCTCAGGACTACACGTGGTAAAACTCTTTTGAACTGAACTGACTTTTGTCATTTTCCAGCAATTTCAACCGAATTCTTTTCCTAAGGTTTCTCAAAACTGTTTTTCAAATACCAGTTGCTTGAGCAATAAATGGGCTACTTCAGTGAATTATCTAAAACAAAACAAAAATCTTTACTAGGGCTTTGAAAACTTCCTCAAATAAAATTCCTTCCAAGCTAAGCAGCTTGATTCATTGCCCATAACATCAGCATCCCATCAGAGTGCTGGTTCTAGTCCAGCTGCTCCACTTTCAGTCCTGCTCCCTCCTGCTGCACTTGGAAACCAGAGTAAGATGGACCGAGAACTTAGGTCCCTGTCACTGGCTCAGGAGACCTGGGTGAAGCTTTCAGGTCCCAGCCTTTGTGGCCATTTGAGGAGTAAACCAGCAGCTGGCTCTCTCTCTCTCTCTCTCTCTCTCTCTCTCTCTCTCTCTCTCTCTCTCTTTCTCTTTCTCTCTTTCTCTGCCTTTCAAATACATAAATGCTTTTCTTTTTAAGGACAGAAAAGAAAAAAGCATTAAAGCCTGTGTTACTTGTCTATCACTTTACAAAGGTTGTTCTGAAAAGTCTCCACAAAATCCTACCAGAAGACCCAGCAAGCCTGTCAGTTTTCCAGATGTGTCCTACATTTTGGAAACTCGCTGCTTCTCCAAAACTTAACTGTACCTGCAGTCTTGAAACAGTCCCGACACAGCCCCACTCTTTCAGCAACCTCCAGAAAAAGACTCCCCCTGGAACTTGTGCAACTGTCCCCACGCAGAAATATTTCTCAGGAACTTCACCAGAGGTGTTTCTTCATTGAAAAATATATATATATTAAGATGTCGTTTCTGCCATTACACCATTCACTTTGTAGAAGAATGCAATTAGCTTATCAGGTCTCCAATGACCACTGAGGGATTAATACCTGGATCTAGAAATTCGGAGCCTGTGCACCACACAAAGCCTTGGGCCCCGAGGAGCCCTTCCAGTCACCGTCTCACAACCCCAGATCCTCTCCGGAGACTCGGTGCCGAAGCGCGGGGCTCCCCGGAGGCAGGCAGGAGGAAGCCCGGGACGGGCGCTGGGCGTGGTGCCCAGCTCCTCCAGTGCGCGCCAGCTTCCGGAGCTGGAAACCTTGGCCCAGGCCCAACCTGTCTGAACCGCGACAGTCTGGGCCACGCGCCTCGGAGCACCGCGAGTCAGACAGGGACATCAGCGTCCCCAGTACACGTGAAACGCCTAGGATCCCGATCCTTGATTGCTACCCCTACCCCTGAAAGTTCAGCTGCAAGCTTGCTTACACTGTCCCCTCGACTCCGGAACTCCCCCCAGAAAACACACGGACGCGCGGAGCTGGCCTGTTGGAGCCTTTTATTCCGTGCCGTCACCGAGGTCGCAGCCCCAACCCCGGGGTTACCGCACTAGAGCGCGCACTCGCGCCTGGGGCTCCCGGGTGCAGGCAGCCGTGTCCTGTCCGCGGAGCCGCGTGCAGCCGTCCCCGCTCCTGGGCAGCTGGTCCTCTGGTCGGCGGCGGCAGCGCAGGTGGCGGTGTGGACAGCACACCGCAGAGACAAGCACAAAGCGGACCACACAGCACTGCACCAAGTGGGGGAAGCAGAATACAGAAGAGCGGGATATCATAGCCGGAAAACGGACACACGGCAGGACAGGGGCGTGATTCTCAAAAGGAGAGAAACCACGGCAGAAGGCACTAAGAGCAGAGGGGAACAAAACAAGCACCTGGGGCCGAGAGTAACGTTTTCCCCCTGTTGGGGTTGTCAGTGCCGACTCAGCAGGGAGGAAAGGGGAGCCTTTTACCTTCTGCCTCAATGGAAGCCAGGAGCAGGGCCGCGCCCAGGGCGGCCAGCGCTGGGGAAAGCCGGGTCCGCATGCTTGCTCTCCTAGCTCAGGGACGCATGAAGGGATCTGCGGGAGGAAGCAGTGACCGCATGAGCACCGGGTCTGGGCAGGCCTGCAACCAGGTTACTGCTGGAGCCTGGACCCAGGCCAGCACCCGATCAGATCTGCCTTCATAACCACAGGGCCTATCCCAGCACATAATGGGCCTATTGTGGCTCTCTGGAAGTCAAGTTCATCTGCAGAAGTTTCATCCTGGCACCAAGAGGGAGCTGCTGTGTCAAGGGGGTCCTGTTTCCCTGACAACTGGTCTGCCCAGCATCCTGGGGGAGGCCCCTGCCGGCCCCCACATGACTTCATCCCACCAGGGGGATGGCTGATTCCAAAATCACAGTATCACTTTACTCAGCTAAATGTCCCTTCCAGTTGTGGATTGCACTTGGCTGCCATTTCCTAACTGCTGAAGTCTTTAAGTACTTTAGTGGTCTCCGGGTGTTCTGGAAAAGTAGAATAAACCTCCTTCTCTCTTTTTCTTCTTCTTTTTGTGCTGCCTACAGATGTGCAGCTCTGTAAGGTCTGAAATGGAATCTACAGACCTCATTCAGATCCAGCTGCAACCCGACCCTCCAGCTAACCATGTTGTTTTCACATCCATGAATCCTTCACCCGCCACCAGGGAAAAAAACAACTCTAAAATACATCATAAAAAAAGACAAGGCCAAAGGAAAGGCAGTACACCCCTGTCTGCTTTCCGGATTTTAATGAAAATCTTGGGGTAATAAAGAATCTTCGTATTACGTGTCCATTGGTCCTGGAAAACCCACATGGAAGTCCACAGCAGAACACGCGCTGAGTCTGTAATTAGACCATCTCTTCCTGAAGGACAAAGGGTGTGCCCCATCTTTCAGGGTTTCCTAACACACAGTAGGTGCTTCGTCCTTGTCAGCAGGGCGGAAACCGCCTAGAATAAGCTCCATTCCAACCCAAAGACAAAGGCTGCCAGCAACCAACTGAACTACAGAGCTGCTAGCAGTGAACATGAAAACGTTTGACTGTGAGATGCATAATTTTTTTTTTTTTTGCAAGGCAGCAGGAGAAGCTAACAGAAAAACGAAAAGGGGGGGGGGGGCTGTCTTGCTTGGGAATTCAAAGGGAGCCAAAGATAAAGCCCTCCCTGAGAGAAGCTGACAATCTCCAACCACGTCTTTCCAAAGTGTTGGCACTGGGCATTGGGGCAGCTTTCCTGGACCTGAGTGTAAATTGTATTTTAAATGTCTAATGGAGCAGGCGTGCCAAATCGCCCGGAGCGCCTCTTTATGAAGCAACATTAAGATTTTGGCGCTGCAGCGGGGCGCTAGCAAGTTCTTTCTTTCTAATTAACAACTGTTTGACATTTCGAACCCGCTTCGACATCAGTGAAAAGCAAGAGGTGAGACTGACCCATTGTTCCCGTCATCTGGCCTCAACTTTGCTATAAGAATTTCCAATTCACTTGGCAGTCGCTGCCGCGCAAAGTTAAATGCTGACATTCGACCCACCGAAAAGCTGTGTGCAGGCTGGAAACACTCACACACACACACTCACTCTCTCTCTCTCTCTCTCTCTCTCTCTCTCTCTCTCTCTCTCTCTCTCTCTCTCTCTCTCTGCCTGAACCTAGAGCGCCACCTTCCGACGGCCTGTTTCGAGGCAGGAATGAATCCCCTCCCCGCGAGGAACCCGCCAGCCAGCCCGGCGTCCGGACGTATACGTTTCAAGGAGAAAAAGTTCACTCTCAGTGTACTGAGCCAAAAACATTTCTCGGACGCCTAGCAACCCTCCACTGAGCACTCTCAGACATCCGTGTCTGAAAGCGACTGCCTCGACGTGGCAACGAGGATTCCCTCCGAGTCCCGGAGGTGGAAGGGAGCCCAGGGGCCCCGCGCTCCGCCGCCAACGCACCCCTCCTCCACACGCTGCAGGAGGAGGCCTGCCTCTGCACTTCCAAGTTTAAATTACCCACCCAGAGAGACCCGCACAGAGAGAGACCCACGGGGTCCCGCCCCCACAGGTCCCCTGCGCGACCCCCACTTGCTCTCCCCGCGGGAGGAGCTCCGCGCTCCCTCCCTTTCTCACTGCCCCCCCACTGCGCCCTCAGCATTCTTCAGGGAACTGCAAAACGCGCGCCGGGGAGGGAGGACTGCAAGCGGAGTCCCCGGGGAGCTCCGGAAGAGTCATCGCAGGGTTCCCGAGGATGCCCAATTCGGGGTCCCTCTCCTGCTCCTCTGCAGCTCCCGGCTCCCCTCGGTTGGTTGGGACGAGCGCCCCACCACTGTTCTCCACGCGCTCTCCGGGATGAGCGCTGGAAATCTCCCCCAGAGAGATCCCACCGCCCCGGCGGGTGACAGGCTTCTCCCCGAAGTTGGGGGGAAGCGGACGAGTCCCCGAGCGCAGGCCTGACCCACCACCTCTGGGGCCGAGGGGAGGACGGAGGGTGAAAAGCTGAGGAGGAAGGCACTCGAGCGCACACCCGGGCGCGGGCCAATGCCTCCCCCGGCCCCGCGGAGCCCCCGCCGCCCGTGGCCCCGCGCACCCGGCCCTGGAGTCCCCAGCATCTGCCGGTGCCACTTCCCGCCATTCGAAGCGTTCCAGCAGACGCTTGCGCGCGCGCCCCGCCGCCCGACACCGGCTTTCTAGAAAAGCTCATCTTCTCCCTCTCCCCTTGGAAACCCCAAGCGAACCGCCGAATCCCTCTCTGCTGCCGCTCGCCTCCCACAAAGCCCAACCTCTCTCTCTCTCTCTCTCTCTCTCTGCCCGGGATTCTCCAAGGCAAGGTGAGGGCAGCCTTGCGGGAGCACGGGGCAGCGGAGAGCGGGGCATGGAAGCCTGGCCGACCTGAGGAAGCGGTGAGCCGCAGCCGCAGCGACGGCGACGGCAGCGGTTCCCGGCGTCCAGGCAGCCGGCGCCCGGTGTGGCTCGTGCCTGCCGCCGAGGTCGGCGCTGCGCCCCGGGCGCACCTGGCGGCCACGGGCGTGCAGGCGGAGGCGCGGCGGGCCCGGAGGGGCGAGCAGGAGAGCGCCGGGCAGCGCTGCTGGCGGCCGGCTGACGCGTCTGGGGCTGCTCGCCTGCGCCGAGTGGGGAGCGACTCCGAGCCGCGGGCTACTTAATAGAGGGCTGTTCCCAGCTCTCAGTTTACTCGGTTACGAAACGCCTGGGAAGGTGGACGGCTGCCACGGGTGATGTATGCTCCTCCGGCGGTGAAGGAGGTCTACTTTTGGGAACGTGTGCATACTTCGAGCATTCCTTCGGCGTGAGGTGGCGAGCGCCGTAGTAGCAGCGCCCCGCCGGGGGGCGGGGAGAGGGCGGGAGCCGGGAGGGGGACAGCCACAGCCGGGTGCCCTGCCAAGGGAAGCCGCGAACTCCTCCGCCTGGGGCGGGCCCGGGAGCTCGGGTTTCCCAGTCCCTTCGAGTTTCTTTAATGAATTGATTTTTTTTTTTCTAAATTAAGAACAAAGGGGAGTGGGAAAGCGACTCGCCTTCGGAATCACAAGGATGTGCGGCGCAGGCACCATTGCCCACGCTACTCCTCCGCTCCAGGATCCATCCTGTCCCTAGCCCCCATCATCGCCACCTCCACCTTCCTCCCCCTCCGTTCTGGGTGCACTTAAAACCGATTTACAGGGTTTCCATTAACTAACTGTCTGTGCACGCGGCGGGCCTTCTGCCTTTTGCAATCTCGCAGTGGCGATTGGCAACCCGGACAGCCGCCCGCGCGCGCCGCTCCGAGATGGGATGGCTTTGCCAGTCGCGCCCCGCTTCTGAGTTGCCGGGGCATCATGAAACTTGGAAGCATCTTCCATCGTGAGCATAGAAGGGAGGTGGGCAAGAGAAGCTGTGAAAAAGCCTAGGGCTCCGCTACCGAGTGGCTACCGAGTAGCTCAGCTGGGCTGGAGTAAAGCTTGGCTTCAGACTCTAAGCTTTACTCTTAGAGCCCCGTGAGTTCAAAGGAACCAGGGGCCATAGGTGGGAACCCCGAAGGCATCCACACCTACACACTTCCTAGAGGGCCAACCTTCTTCCAAGACAGTGGCTTCTTCCCTGCTCCCCCTCCACACGCTTCTTTGGGCCCAGAATAGGGAGTCCAGTACCCGGGATTGCCAGACCGTAGGGACGCACGCGAGGTCGCCGCAGCACCAGAAAAGCGCTCCAAGACCGGCTCGGCGCCCTGGCTTTTTGAACCCCGGGAGTCACCTTCCAGCTCCGGTCTGTGGGAGATGTGATCGAAGACCACTGTCCCTAGAACTGACTGTGGTCGCTGGTCGCGGGAATCCCGTCACCCATGTAGACCCCACTTTCCCCGTTCGACCTGACCTGTGCAGATTTGGCACAATCTGGTCATGCTAACTTCCGACAGTGAATTAGCATGACGGGAAATGCAGAGCGCCCTCCACACCCCTGCCCTGCACCTCTGACTGCCTCCAGCGAGAACGGGAGGAAACCAGAGGGGAGACTGGGAGGGGAGAGTAGAGAAAAATAGAAATCGCCACTTCTGCACATTCCCGAAGCACGCACAGCCCACTCAAAGTCCAGCTGGGCAGCTCTCACAAAGAGCCCACACAGCGCGCAGCCTTTTCCCGGTTCTGAGCCTCATAACCTTAGTGTCTGACAGTACACCCCACCCCATCCCCGTCCCGACCGGGAGCGCGTCGCAGGGGCAGATAACCCGCCGGGCGTGGCACAGGGGGCGTTGGCCATCGCCCGGTCTCATCTGGCTTGCAGCTGGGTTGTTCTGGTACCAGTGGGCGCCTGCACCCTCGGCCTCACCTCTTCAGAGTGAGAGCCCCCTCAGCGCCAGAGCCCCCACCAGGCTCGCACAGCGCGGGCCGTCAGGTCCCACCAGGCCCACAGACGTGCGTGGGAAGAGGCAGCCAAAGAGCAGGGAGTTCCCGTGGGCTGCCGTCCGCGCAGCAGAATGTGGTGCCCAGAACCTGAGCAGGCCAAGGAAGCTCCCCACTCAGGACAATGGCACGCCATGGCTAGCCAAGGAAACTACTTCTTTGTATGGCTGCCCATTCTGGCTAAAGGTTACTCGCGGCACAGATGTAACTCTGGGAGTTGATTTGCTTGGTTTAAAAACAATTCTTTCCTGTCAGTCTGGCTAAGATTGGCAAGGGAGCTGAGCAGCCGCCACCACCTCCTCTAACACACACACACACACACACACACACACACACACACACACACACACTCTCTCTCTCTCTCTCTCTCTCTCTCTCTCTCCTGGGAAGCAGTCTCTGGCTTTCTCTTCGCAAAGGTCCAGGAGATGCCTGATCCGGAGGGCGCACACACCTCCCTCTGCTGCTGGAATCGCGGGCTGGGACCCCGCGTGGGCGTCCTCCGTGCCTGTAGACAAGATCGCTCTCACACTTACACTGAATGCTTCTGGGAATAATCGCTGCCGAGCAGTGTAACTAGCACAGATCGCCAGCTGTAAATGCTCTCTTTCTCAGGAAAAAAAAAAATCCCTAGGCAAAACTGGCGAGGGGGTGGGGGAGAGACTCCAGATGGGCTCTACTGAAAGACTCTTCTCCACAAACTAATCCAGGCGCCAGGGGTGCAACCCAAGGGGTTGAGATGATCCCGGCTTGGCGTCTCCATTGTTTGGTCCCTGGGGTCTTTACGCTAGACTCCAAGTATGGGAAGTGGACGAACGCGGGTGAACACGTGGGAACACGTCCATCCTGGGCCTATCACTGTGCCTGCAGCTCTCGGGCGCTCTTGAGAGCCGCAAGGCTTAGAGCGAATTGACAGTGAAGGTGGAGTGAACCACAGCTGGCTGGATGTATTCTGTAGTGTTGCTCCCTCCTGCTTCCATTCCTCTAGCCAAACCCGGGCTCTCCGTCCCTTCCCTCGCCTCCAGCTCCCACCTCTTCTCCCTCCGTCCTGGGTGCCCGGTGGGTCCAGAGCCCCTGATTTCTTGTACGGCAGCGCTCCCTAGTGGTCAGCGCAAACTCTGGTGTCGCCGGTGAAGGTGACGGAGTGCAGAGCTTGCGAAGTTGTTGACAGTTTTACAAGTCTTGGGGTGAGCTATTGAAAAATGTGTCCTTCGTCTATCCGATTCCGTGGACTGGCTGAGAGATGAAAGGCAGGGAGGACGAAGGGGAGCTAGCCGTCAACTTTCTCTGTGTCAGTTACTTAGCTTCCTATAGAAATTTTTTCCCCGAAGAAGGAATGGATACAGATTTTTGTAGCTCTTGGGGTCCTGTGCGTGCTGTCCCCAGAGCTCACGGTCCTCAGGGATCTTGGGTGGAAATGTTTTCACAGCCTTTGAGCTAAAGATGGGAAAAGATGAGGAAGCGGTCCACCTGCTCTGCGGAGAGGCAGCCCAATCAGCATGCATCAGAAGCTGGGGTCTGACTCCCGCCCTCTGGATCACAAAGTGCCACTCCAGGACACACACGTAGCGATCCCTGGCTGTGAGCACCATGGCACATCTTCTGGGGCCACGCTCAGAGCCAGTCCAGGCAAAGATCATGAAAGACAGGGCTTGCCCTCAAAGGTGCCGAGCAACACCTGCCCAACCAGAAGCAACTTCACGTGGCCCAATTAAATCTAGCAGGAGATGATGTGGCCATCAGGTGTTTTAACGTGGAAAGTGAGAAACAGTAGCCAGCCCTCTCTCTGCATAGCAAAGCCTAGGCACCCCTAGAGACGGGAGGGGGCACACTGCACCCTTCTGTGTTCTCCCTGCATGCCTGCTTCACCCCTGTGCTCTCATTGGTGTGGAACCAACGTCCCCTATCAGAGGGTGCGCATCTTTGACGTGGAAAGCAGGAGCTACATCTTGTTGGTGTGATTAAATCAGGTGGTCCAGCCCTCCTGAGACCGCAAAACAACGTGCTCATGTAGGGACGGGAGTCCTAGCAAATACCCATCCTCCTGAAACGTCTTCAGATCAGTCTATAAAGATTTAGCAAAAGTCAAGTACTGCTACAAGATTTTTGAGGTAGTTATAACTCCCATGAGCAAAGTACAAAACCTAAAGGAAATAAATCCATTTAAGAGTTTAGAAAAGTGGGCCCAGCGCGACAGCTTAGCGGCCAAAGTTCTCACCTTGCATGTGCCAGGATGCAATATGGGTGCCGGTTCGTGTCCCAGTGGCCCCGCTTCCCATCCAGCTTCCTGCCTGTGGCCTGGGAAAGCAGTCGAGGACGGCCCAAGGCATTGGGACCCTGCACCCGCGTGGGAGACCCGGAAGAGGCTCCTGGCTCCTGGCTTCGGATCAGCTCAGCTTCAGCTGTGGTGGCCGCTTGGGGAGTGACTCAACAGACAGACTCTATGTCTCTTAATTTATCTGACTTTCCAATAAAAATAAAATAAATATTTTTGAAAAAAGGATTTAGAAAAGCAACTCTCAACCTTCGTTGCATTAATATGAATACTATTCATGGACTGCCACTCCATGCCGAGATTGCGCTGACATGCACTTTCAGGCTGGTGAAAAATGTGAGTAATTCACAGGAACCCATTTTTCAAGATTTGGTCTTGGCCTTCAAGCTTCCTTCCCAGTAGATGAAAATGTGTTAATAGCGAGGCTGGAGTCACAAAGTTCCCAGTCAGAGCTCCTGTGGAGGGCAAAGTGTAACCAAACCAAGGCTGTATTTTCTAACGCATTTTCTTTTTTTTTTTTTTTTTTTTTATTGTTGCTTACATTGTATTATGTAGTACAGTTTTATAGGCGCTGGGGATTCCCCCCACCCCTCCCATACCCCTCCCCCCATGGTGGATTCCTCCACCTTGTTGCATAACCATAGTTCAAGTTCAGTTGAGATTCATTGCCTGCAAACACATGCCCAGCATAAAGTTCAGCGTCTTATTGTCCAGATAAGTTCAGTGGCCTCTTGGGGAGACCTTCTATGGTCTGAAGATAGGTCTAACAGAG